ATCAGCCAAGTAGTTGGCGTAGTTTACTGATCAGACAATAATGTAACTATATGTTCATTTGAAACTCCATTGGCATTCGCCTCTCTTCTCTTGCAGTATGCTTTAGGAATCTAGGGCTGCTACACCAGAACTATCACAAGTGGATCACCTTAACAAGGAACTAATTCTATCAGGAAGTTAGATGTACAACTTCACAGTGACAACCCGTGGGAAGGTTTCCTATGCATCTCCTGGTGTATGAACCTGGGTCCGAGGGTGTGGTCGCCGCCGGCTCTTCTTTCTTGGGAAACTTTCCGAGGAACTGAGGTTCCTCTTCCTGCTTGCTTCTCTCTCCTTCACTCCCTTGTGGCATAAAAGCAGACAACTGCTCCACCCCCGGGAAAGCCCTCTGCATCAGATCAGGGCTGAGGCCTGGTGATTCCACCCTAACCACCACACAACTGACTAGCTCATCACATCAGAGCATGTCAAGGAACATGCCTGCATTATGTAACTCATTAAATAACCCCGTTAACATCCGAGGTTAGGACTTATACCTTAGAACCCGCTCAGTGCCATCAAGCCCAGATGAGTCACAGCAGACCCTTCACCGGCCTCTCAGAGGCTGTAAATCGCACAGGACACAGCTACACATCTTTCTCCCACACCGCCCCAGGTGGACTCCAGCTTCTAACCTGTGGGTTAGCAGTGCACCTCCTTACGGACTATCCCACCAGAGCTCCCCAAACAAGGATTTACAACATACATCTTAATTATGTAATACTGAGGGTCATAGCCCAGCCATGTGGACACGTATGTGGGGGTGAGGCACAACTGAATCAATGACCCAGCTGACAGCTCAACATTGTGATGCCTTGTTTGTGGGTGACACTTAGCCAGTTCAAAGCACAACGTAGTGAAGAAGAAGATGGTTTTCTTTTATCAGAAGTAATGAGCAGAAAAAACATTATTTTTTTAAAAATTCTAACATCTTTGGAAACAAAGTAATAACAGCTTTCAGCAATGATATTGATCAAGATGGACTAAACTCTGCATCAATGAGAGAGATCTCCCACCTCAGAGTCTTCAGAAACGTGAAGACATAGTGCTTGTTTTCCTCGTTGTCCAGTGTGGACTGGACGCCCTGCCCAGTGCTCACATCCAGCCTCCTGTGCTGCTGCTGCCAGCTTGACTACGTGTGTTCTGTGCCTGCTGTTGTCTAGTCGAGTGTGACTCACAGCGACCCCATGAACAAAAGGTCTGAAGCCCCTCTACAGCTCTCGACATTTACCAAAGTTCAGAGAGTTTCCAGAGGCATGAAGTGGATGTCACTCCTGCTTCCAGCCAGGGGCAACCCTACCAGAAATGCCACAAGAAGGAAGCTCTGCAAACAGATACTTATTTTCTCGAAGCTCTAGAATTTAAAAGCATCCACTGGGGTCTCTCTCCAGTGGACCACACTCCTAGTTCTGCTGACTCCAGAACAATCTTTGACTTGTAGAAAGAGAATCCTTACATGAACCTGTTCTCGTGTGTGTGTGTGTGTGTGTGGCGCATGCACACGTGCACTTGCATGTGCATGCATGTGTGTATCTAGGAGGGATTAGGTTTAAGACCCACTCAAGCAAGGCTTACTTGACATACTAGAGAAACCCTGACCAGCATCTCTCTTGATCATCCTGAGAAGGTGGGCAGAGGAAGGACATGAGTGGGGAGGTCCCATGGGCACAGCTGTGATTAGCTGCCATACTTGCACCGTAGTCCATTGCCTAGTGGTGTGTTCTCACCCGCACTATAAATGCGAGGAGGACACAGAATCTTTCTCTGTGCTCTGACAGCACGCAGCATCTCTACTGCGTGTGCTTCCTCTGGACCACTGTGTGACTGAAACCTTCACGGTCCCAGGATCTAGTGTAGGCTTAGTCTATGAGAGAGAGAAAAGATGAATAAAGCAGACATACAAGATAGCGTAGTATCCGACTTCATCAATGAGCGTGATCAGACAAGACTCTCACATATAAAAGAGCAGGGTGCTCATTGCCACCGCAGTCTAAGCTCAGGGGGAACCTGCGGCCAGAGAACTGCTTCTGTGGTCTCCAAGGCTGCAGACTGCTACCTCCTTCTCCAAAGAGCAGCAGGGAGTCCAAACACTAATTTTGTTGTTAGCAGACTAACACTTTATCCACTGTGCCACCTAAGGAACACACTTATATCAATATGTCAAAGTCAACGGTCTTACAGAAAGTGTAGCAGATGGGAACAATTTAGGATGGCAAATAATTACATAAGAAATGTAATTTGCTTCAAGGAAAAGGCACTAGACTTAAGCCACCTAGGAAGGCTTCCAAGAGGAAGAGTCCAACAGTAGGATCTATCCAGACCAGAGGAGGAGGAAATGCTTTCCAAGGGGAAGGTTGGGAATGAGAACAAGATGAGAACTGGCAACTTGGAGAACTTGTGTGTGGCTGGAACAGAAGCCCCTGGGAGTTTTATAAGTTCCTGATAGAGCTGTAATTGAGGTTTGAGATGTTCATGGGAGCATTTAGTGCCATTATTCAAATGGGCCTGCAAAGGATTAGTCTGCAGGAGAATGTTGCAGATACTGGATATGTATAATTGGATCAAGGACTACTTGTCTAATTACATTTCTAGCTGCAAATGAAATGGCACCTTTCATGCAATTTCAAAGTTCCTTAGAGAATACTTCGGGAAAATCTGTTGACGATTTCCTCTTCTGATGATGTGGATGCCTGTGACTCTGCCTCCAAGCGGTGTAAAATCTGCTCTGAGGAAGCATGTGTGTGACTTTCTGATGGTTACTCCGTGGGAGCATCGCTGGCCTGCAGAACTAGCATGCACTTGACACCACTACCGACCGTCTGTGCTTCCTGATTTTCGAGAATGCCTGGTGATCTCCACAAGCTACCAGCAAAGCCAGTAACTGCACTCATGAAGTCTAAATATGTCTACAACACCTACCCTGCTACTATAAATGTATGAGCCAAATGCTGACTGTGGTGTGGCATTTACGTGGACCCCATGACCCCGTGCTCTGCTGCCTGTTAGATAGAAAAAGAGCGGAGCGAGAGAGAAGCAGCAGCAGCAAGTAACAAACAGGCCTTTATTAAGTAGACCTGAGCGGGACACCAGGTAATGGTGTACAGAGAAGATCAGAAGGGCAGGCAGGCAGACGAAGGCAGTTTCCTTTTTTTGTAGGGGCTGTTAAGAAGATTGAGAGGGGATGGTGTTTGCTCAGGAGTTTGGGGGCAGGGATCCTGTCAGGATGTGATTGGGTCCAGGGCCCCATCAGGAGCTGGCCATCTAGTGACCTGGTCAGTATATGGTCAGGCTTCAGCAAGCCATGGTCAGGCCTCATCACAGCATGGTCAGGCCTGGGGCTAAGGGTCTGGGGTAGGCAGAGAACCTCGACATTCTACCTGCGTTGCCAATGACTACCATTTGGTTTGTTTCATGTGGCAGAAAGCTCCTGAGGTCTACCTATCCAGAAATAGGTTTACTAACATCTGTCTTCAATGCACAAATAGACCCAACCTATTATGCTTCCAGTTCCTAAGAGTCACACTGGTGACATCCTTTTGTTCTCACATTTTCTTGTAAGACATACCATCTACAATGCTGCAGCACAAAACTTGGCAATGGTCTTCTCAGCTGGCCTGTTTCCAATCCCTAAGACCAAATTTTTTAAAAGGTACTTGTAACAAAATGTTAGGGAAAAGTTTATACACAGAAAGAAACCTCCTTTGGTTATAAGGAAAGAGGAATAAAGGAAGAGTAAGTAAAATCCGTAATTAGAAAACAAACACCTACTAAGTTGGGTTAAGAAAAAGACCATATAAAATAAAGGGCTTGTCAACATAGTACCACTGGAGAGAAGAGACGGAGAAGAAAACAAGACACACTGACAAGAAAAGGCAGCAGTAAGGAAGTAGATGGCTGTGGGCTTGGTTAGCTTCAGGTTTTTTCTTTCAAATTATGTCAAAACCAACTTAGGATGTAGTCATTGGAACATAACTGGTCCTAGGTTGGGCTCTACATATACTTCCACATAGTCATTTGAGTCATACCATGATGTGACTCAAATTCCCACATAAAGCCCCATTAGTTCCAGAAGCTTCTACCTGTGAAAAGAGAACTCACCAACTTCTGGTTTTCCATATTGAAGGAGCCCTTTTTTATCATGAAAAAATTGTGTTCACAGCAGTGAGCAGACAGGTAAACACGCCGTCAAGCCGCCTTGCGTCCTTAGCGTGTGCAAGAATGTAGACAACAATATCAAAGTCCATGGGATGAAACCCCAGTGCACATCAAACGTACAAAGTGCCTGCTCCAGAAGGTGACCGTTTGCTGTCCAGAAGCTCCTGCCCCAAGGAGTCAAGTGAAGTCTCTCAGTGAATCATATGCCATAGTTCATACAATCAGGTCATCCTGTTGAGAATAAGAGGACCATTCCTCCGAAGAGTCCTCTAATTCATCTCTAGAAATATCCCAAGATACGCTCAGTAAGTTGTTTCAGCCTCTATTCACAGCCAAGGACTCTGAAGCTGTGTGGTCAGTGGATGCTGAGGCCTCCAACAGCTAACTCCACTGGACATCACAAAGACTCCTGTGACATCACTCTGCCCTCATCCAGTCCTGTCTCCGGGTGCCTGTGACCACATGGGCCTGCGAAGCCACAGAGAGGAGAAGGCCCCAGGCCTCGCCTACCAGCGTACTATCAGGTTCCCCAGGACCTCAATGGACTAGTCACGCTGAGCTCCTTGGAGGAGCTACAGAGATACCCTTCCCCTATCGTACATCTTATCACATAGGAGTCAAAGAAGTCTTTCCTCAGAAAACGGGATGGTTGAGAACCATGGTGTAAAGGAGAGAAAGAGACCTCAAGAATGGGCGACTAAACACAAGAAGAGAGGGGAGGAAAAAAATAAACAAAACAACAGAAGACTGCAACTTGCTCCCACGGACTGAAGAAAATTAGGAAAGGTTGGAATCCATCACTGCTCTTAGTCATCTTCTCCTTCGTCTTCCTCATCATCATCTTCCTCCCCTTCATCAATATCTTCCAAATCTCCTTCATCGTCATCATCAGCTTCTTCTCCTTCATCATCCGTACCTGGAACCAAATAGTACTGTAGTGGATGTGGCCAAATATCACCTCTTACAACCTCTCCTAATTCATCTGCATCGACATCAGAATGATCAGTGAACCACATAGAACAGCTTTCTGGTTCTTCATGCTGTCTCTTCCTGCTAGCTTTACTCTGCATTTGACTTGAACGTTTCGTCAGGTCCTTTCCAGATTTCCATTTGATTTCAGTTGATTTTGAGGATGGTTCAGCACTCTCATTCAAATGAGACTCTTTAGAGAGAATTTTATTTTCAAAGTAAGTATTTTCATCAAAATAAAAATCTGTTTTGTAACCTGATTTAATATCTTCAAATCCTGTCACTTCAACGCTGGTCAAATAATGCAGTGCCTCTTCATCCTCCTCCCCGAGCAATGCTTCCCGTCTCAACAAAAATAGGGAATCGACACACCCCCATGCTCTGCGGGGGAAAAGAAAAACCTTCTGCTCCCTTCGCTCTGCTGGAGGCTGGAGGGTGCTGGGCCCCTGTGGAGGAGTGCATAGATTCTAGCTTTTCTCTTCTCTCTGTATATTGGGCTCAGAGATCACACTGTCTCTACGTGAATCCTAACAGCATTTACCAACATTTATCTGTCTACTTTCTCTTGTTTAAAAAAGGAAGGAAAAAACTAAAAAAAAAAAAATGGGGTTCTAGAAGGTCAGCAAAGGGTGGGTTTGAGATGTTTAGGTGGGTTAGGTGGGCATTTTGGACAACATGGCTTCTCCTTTGGATGTTTCATTGTGATTTTAACGGACATCCTTGCAGTTAAGACAACATTTATAAAATCAAATTCTCTCCTAATGATGACTTGAACTCTGCCACTCAGTGGGAGAATCAGCAGAGCCTGGAGGACCTTATTTGGAACTGACATTCTCTATTGTCATTTTGTTCCTGTTTATTGTTAAATTTTCTTTTTGTTTCACTGGAAAGAAAACATGATGCTCAGTTTTAAACATTGGAAGTGTATAAGTTCTTTGTTATAATAAAACTAAATGTGTACACAAAAAAAAAGAGAAGTCTTTCCTCAGGCAATTCATCATATCCTTACACCTTAAAAGTGTGGTTTAAAATAAGCAGAGCCTTTGAGGTTTTATTAGAAGAACCTCTACGTCAAGGATTAGTCCTATCTCTATATCTTTTCAATCTATTTGCAGAACAGATCATCCAGGAAGCTGGGGTCTATGAGAAGGAATGTGGCATCAGGATTGGAGGAAGACGCATTAACAACTTGCATTATGCAGATGACACAACCTGCTTGCTGAAACTGAAAAGGGCATGAGGTGTTTGTTGCAGAAGGTCAAGAACTGTAGTCTGCAATATGGATTGAAGCTCAACATCAGGAAAACAAAGATTCTCACCACTGGGCCAACCAGCAGCTTCGTTATGGATGAGAAGAAATTGAAGTTGTTGATAACTTCAGCTTGCTTGGTTCCACAATCAATACTCTTGGCATCAGCAGTCAGAAAATCAAAAGACAAATTGCACTGGGAAAGTCAGCTGTCAGGGACCTCTCTAGAGTACTGAAGAGCAACAAATGTCTGCTTAGTCTGGAGACTAAGGTGTGCCTGATCTAGGCCATGGTCTTTGCAATTACTTGTTATACATCAGAGAGCTGGACAATGACTAAGGATGATAGAAGAAGGATCAATGCCTTTGAGTTGTGGTGCTGGAAAAGAATGTTGAACATACCACAGATTTCCAGGAGAACAAACTGCTCTGTCCTGGAGAGGATGAAACCAGGCTGCTACATGGAGGCAAGGATTCTGAGGCTCCACCTTATACACTTTGGGCAGACGGCCCGGAAGGACCAATCTTTAGAGGAGGATATCATGCTTGGAAGGGTGGAGGAATAGCACAGGAGAAGAAGACCCAGAATGAGACGGGTTGACTCAGTAACTGGAGAAACGGCACTGGATTTGTCCATGGCGATGAGATTGATTGAGGACTGGGCAGGTTTCAGAGCTAGTGTGCACAGGGTCTCTGTGAGTGGCAGGTGACTCTATGGCACATAACAACACAACAGCATGCCAGCTTATGAAGACATGCGTGGACATCGTGGGTAAATGAAACTCACAGCCCTGCTCCCTGCTCCAGCAAGCTATCTGCTCAGAGACCGGATGAGTGTGTCTAGAACGCTCTTTTCCTTAAACAGAGCGGTGAGCTCACAGCAGTCCTGGTGGCTGAGTCAGCACAGATCCTAGGACCCAGGCAAGCCAGACTTAGCCTGATGCAAAAACTCCCCTTTTCATGAATCTTCCCTCTCACATTCCACTCTGTCTACCTAAAATTGTTTTAATAGTCTAAGACTGGATTTGTCAAAGCTAGTTTTTGTTTCTTTCTTCAAATATTTTATACTGGTTTACTTACAAAGTTCATAAACATTGTTTTTCACTCCAGATCATTCCCATTTCCTTTATTGACCCCTCCCTCCCCCTTCCTGGTATGACCCTGTGATTAACACCCCCCACCCACCCATCCTCACCCCTCTGCTCCCACACTCTCCACCCCCTGACTTGGACCCTCATACACATTCTACAATAATGGCCTTATACAGTATTTGTCCTTATGGGACTGAGTTAGTTCACTTAGTATAATGGTCTCCAGTCCCTCCCAAGTTAGGTAATGATTTACAAAATTCATTGTGTAAATGTACGATAATTTCTCAATCCATTTGATTGTGATTAGACACCTGGGCTTTTTTCATGTTCTTGCAATGGTGAATAATACTGCTATGGACATTGATGTACAAGTCTCCATTTGTCCCTCAGTTCTCATTTTCTTGGGGTATATTCCAAGCATTGGAATAGCTGGGTCATATGGAATTTTTATATGTTTAGCTTTTTAAGGAAGCGCCAAACTGCCTTCCAGAGTGGTTATACCATTTTACAATCCCACCAATAGTGTATAAGAATTCCTATCTCACCACATCCTCTCCGACATTTATTACTTGCTGTCCTGTTAAACTTTGTCACTGCTACTGGGGTGAGATGGTATCTCTTTGTGGTTTTGATTTGTGTCTCTCTTATTGCCAGTGATTGGGAGTATTTCTTCATGTGTCTGTTGGCTATTGGACGAATATCTTCCTCTGAAAATTCTTTCCATGTCTTTTGCTCATTTTGTAGTTGTGTTATCAGCTTTTTGTGAAGGCTCTGTAGGATTCTGTAAACTTTTTATCTGAAATCCTTGTCTGAAATAGTATTGCTAAAATTTTCCGCATCTATAGGTTTCCTTTTACTCTGCTGGAAAGTGGTTTTGATGCACAGGATTTAATCTTTGGAAGGCCCCATTCCTCAATTTTATCCTCTCCAGATTATGCATTTCTGGCTGTATTTGGCCGTCTCATTATACCATAGACTGGGATCCTCCTGGGAGCCTTGTTGGGAATCTCCTGGGAGCCTCCTGGGAGCCTTGTTGCAATCACAGTTCTCAGGCCAACAGCGTTGCTGTGACTCATCAGGGACTTGATGGCAGTAAGTGTTTCAGTGTTGGTGGAAAAGTGGAAGCTGTTGTTGAAAATCGTTCCAAGAGGAGGAAATTGCTGCCAGATTGGGCTGTTTGTCACCAGAGAGGGTGGGAAGGGAGAGGCCATCCATCCATGTTGCTGTGCATAGATTTATGTGGTGCTTCAACTTCAAAGAGCGCTGGGCAAGTGCAGGAACAGGAAGCATCCTTTAAAAGAGAACAGACGTGTCTGGGCCTGCGGAGCCCCACAGAGAAGACAGGACAGTCCCAATCAGGCTTGGTCTGGAAGCAACCATCAGTGCAAGCAAAGGAGGAGACGCAGAGGGCCTTTGTCTGGGCTAGCCGTGTAGACTTCCTTCATTTTTATGGGGTGAGTGGGAGACTTTGTCTTGAATTCTGTGAGGAGTGGAAACCAGTGTGTTTTTTTAACAGTGTTTGTTGCCCAAGGATTGTGGCATTAGGGTGGCCATTCGTATGACTCCCATGCTCTCTGTGATGCTGGCCACAAGTGTATGTCCATGCACCTAGCAGTCCTTCATGGAGGGCCTGATACAACCCAGGAGCAGTTACTAGCACATGCACATGGAAATGAGATGCTTCCTCTTCCCAGAGGGCCCCAGGATCAAGTGGAAAGAGCCCTGTACAGACATCAAGACGCGCCTGCACCCACGCCTGCAGTGGAGGACAGACTGAGCCCTAAGAACACAACTATTTTCCAAAATGGGAAACAGTCATCACTTAGATCCATCCTAGTCAATCTGTGTCTCCCAAAACATGCATCCACCTATCTACTTCTCCAGTCATTTGTTCATGGGACAAACACTGATTAGATGTCCCCTTCTATGGGCCAAGGATAAAAGAACTCCTGTCCTTGAAGACAAAACAAGCAAAGCCACCAATGCAGAAGTGAACAGAAAGAAAGCAGTTCTCACTCACGGAGGGGACACCAGCAGGTCTCCACAAAGGTGGCGTGTGAGAACATGCAAGGGACACACCTGTCCTTCAGGTGCTGGGCAGACAAGGTGAGAAGGAGCGCAGCCATCATCACCAACACCAATCAGAACCCTGGGACTCTCCTAACCCTGACACAGCAATGGTCTACAGAGTTGTTGGAAACAATACAAACCCATTGCAACACAGTTCCAGAGGCTGTAAGTCCAATTTTAGGGTTAGCAGGGCCCCGCTCTTGTGGAAAAGCCTGGGAAGAGATCTTTCCTCTTCTCTCCCCACTTATGTTGACCACAGACTTGTAGACATTTACCTCCATCCTCAGATGCCTTCTTCCCTCTGACCATGAGTCTCTCTCTCTCTCATCTCTTTTAATAAGGACCTTGCTTAGATGGGACTTGAACCCTCAACCACAGATGGCCTCATGTTAGTTTCTGCAAGCATCTAACAGCATCTACAAAGAACATGTTTCCTGATGAAGCCAAATTCCAAAGCACTGAAGTCTAGGAACACCGGGCTTGGATTTGCCACGCAACTCCCTGCAGAGTACACATCCACATTACTGTGGGGAGGACCGTGTCCATGTTACCTCAGGGAAAATCGGTAATCTACTCCTGTGTGACATGAGCTAAGAACCTGTTCAGCTTGTCACCAGTGAGTTCAGCAAATCTAAATTCTTTGGATGAGTTTTCACGCTGTTTGTTTATGGAAGGAAACTTTGCAAAGGACACCTTATAAACAAATTGGAACCTTGCGTAGGGGAGGATTAATGACCCCAAGTGAGGGAGGGAGAGATAATCAGAATTTATTGTTTAAGGTATTCTGCATGTCTGTACAGGGTGACAAAACACCCTTCAAAGTGGGGTCTTTGAGGCCCCCTTCAGAGCACATGGCATTAACCTGGGAGCTGAGAATCTTTCTCCTGCAGAAGCTGTCTGTGTGTTTCTCCTTCCACCGCTCTGCCTG